TTTAATGCACATGTTAGTTTAGTTCAAACAGCAGTGAAGCAAACTGACCTTTGACCCAGTCAACATTGTGCTGAGCATTTTGGTGCCGTTCCCAACACCAACAACTGAAACAAAGAGAGTCCAATGATTAAAGTCCTGCTGGTGCCCCCTACAGGTTGAAATGTTCACTGAACTCACGTTTAATTCATTCATCTAATCAAAGTTCAGCAAACTCAGAATACACTGAAACATTTATATTACGTGTTCATCTTTGTGCTTTAAGTTGATAACAACCTTTATTCCCTTCTTCATGACATCATCACCTGGGAGTTTGCGAGCAGCAGTGAAGCGGCTGCTTTTCCCTCAGACTGACCCAACATCACCTGACTGAACAGCTTTGCTTATGCTTAAGGACGAGGTGGAGGCGTGCTCTCGCCTCGCTGTGCTGCGGAGCGCAAATCAGACAACACGGCATCGTGCTGCAGGATGTTGTAGCAGCCATGCTGGTTAAGAGCCGTCTTCCAATCAAAGCCATGTCACACTGTGGGAAACGTGCACATATTTGTCTTCTGCACCTCACAAAGGCACAGCAGCTGGAGCATCAAATATCATATTATCAAAGTCCATATTTGGACTCGTTTAACGTCTTTTGCTTGTATTTCTTGGTGCACATGGTTCCTTTCGTCATGACAAAGACACTTCAGGTTAGCTCTGACTCCATTTTCACTGCTTTTCAAAAGACCAGTTTGGTCTCTTTACCCAATTTTCCCTTTGATGGTGACTGTGGGTTAAATTCAACCACAGTGAATTAATTTTTCCTAAAATTATGGGTGTGGCCACTTTGCCAGACGTAGCAGCACAATCAGCAGGGTTGTCTGGTAGGTTCATCTCTGCTAACTGGAGTCAATGGACCGGCCTTCTGCACTTTTAGCTGCTTTATAAAACACTTTAATAAAGATAAGAACTGCAGTTGGGCTCATAAGTTATGAGGAAAATCGAGTCCTATAACATCATTGTTCAACGACAGTGGTTTAACTTGCATTTGAAGGAGGCCATCATTGATTTAAAAGCACAAAAACAAAATACAGCTATCAGAGAGCAAATTACCAGTGTAGTCCGTTCTTAAAAAGATGGAAAGCACGGGCCGCCCAGAAACACCTAAAGGCCCAAAAAACACTGAAGAAAATTTAAATGAATTCTTCATGTGAAGAAATAAAAATCCTGACACGACATCGACTCAAGTCCCAAAAACAGTTGAGGAGCTCGGCCTGTCATTGTTAAAACCTACGCCATGGTGCAAACCACTGGTTACACTCAAGCCCAAGAAGGCCGGACTACATCTGCCAGGAAACATTTAAAAGTCACAGTTCTGGAGAAAAAACCCCACTTTTGTCAGGTGAAACTGAGATAAATTTGTACAAAAATGATGGGAAGACAAACAGTATGCAGAAGGAAATGAAGCATACCACATTATCTGTCAAACATGCTGGAAGCAGCATTATGGGCTTGTACGGCTGCCAGTGGAACTGTGCCACTTAAAGATGGTGTGACTGCTGATAAAGCAGCTCAGAGTTAGACAAAGGGGACACTGACAAACTGGGACACTGACAAACTGGGACACTGACAAACTGGGACACTGACAAACTGGGACACTGACAAACTGAGACACTGACAAACTGGGACAGCCTGTTCTACACTGTAGAAATGCAGGAAAACACCTGACAGATCTAACGAGCTGCCCATAGACACTGATGCTGTTCCCACTGGCACCTTGGTGGAAGTGAGAGAGAAGGAAAGACAGGAGTGTGGAGGTGCTGCCTGAACATCATCTGTGATATCAGTGCACCTCTCCAAGGTTGTGTTAAAAAGTCCCCCAGCCTCGCTCCTACACATCTCCACACCTGCACAGGTGTGTCATCTGGACCATTCCACTCTTCATAGAGGATGACGGGCCAGCACCAGGAGTTCACTGCTTATGATATAGCTATATATCAAAACAATAAGAAGATCAGATTTTACTATATTTTATCCATAGAAAAATAGCAAGCATGTTGTCATAGGAAATGCAGGAGTCACGATGTCGCGGACTTTCTCAGGACACGCGTGGGAAGAAAAATGTGCAAAAGAAAAGAAAATGCACGTATTGAAAAAACAACTTCTAGACAAACAACGTGTATATCTCAGGAATTTGTTATCAATATAAATCAATTTGATCTTAATAGTGAACTCTGTAGTTCAGAGACACGCGTGACTGAATCAGACTGGGGTGATGTGGAGCAGCCCTGAAGCTCGGGCCCTGTCGGTGCTTTACCGATAACAACAGTAAACACGGAGGGTGGGACTGACCCCCTCTCCCCCTCCTCCCGGGGCAGGAATGACAACAGTCGCACGTGTGCCGGCGCGGTGCGTTGGACGCTAGCCTAGCCGCTTACCCAGCACCCCGCTGGCAGCGCTGTCCAGCGTCCCTCCGTGTCCCATCTTCAGGCTCTGATTCTTCCTCTTCCGCGGGTTTGGATTTTTGACTCCCGCCTCTGAAAGATAAAGCGACACAAACGGTTTACGGTCAGCTTTCCGCAAACACCGGGCTGGACGTCCTGCGGCTGTTTGGTCCCGTTACCCTTGAGCAAAGCTTCCTTGAGCACATTCAACACGTCCGCGGAGGTCGGCCCTTGTTTTTTATATATCGCAAACAATCCGTTTAAAGCCTGTAGTTGTGACAAAGAACTAGCTATCGCAGGGACGGTGTTACTGACGCTCCCGGCCATGCTCGCTTCTCTGTTCTTTGGCTAATGTCCATCTTCTTCTTTTCCCCTCAGTGGCAACTATGCGACCCGTTGTTGTCTTTACTGCCCCCTGCTGGTTGAGCAAGAACTTCTTCCTTCTGCATGAATATTATTAAACAACACGACGCTTAACTACCTTCTGTTTTTGACGATCTGTTTAAACAGTATTACAGGCAGTCTCAGCTCACACAGATCAGGCCTGATAAAAACGAACAAACAGATAAATACAGACTTAGTTTTTCGAAACTACGTTGACCAACATGCTTTGCGTCAAACACTTCCTAGTTACTCTGCGCCCTGGTTTCCTTTTTCTGTCAGCTGGTCGAGCTACAACAACAATACCTGTCAGGACGACCGTTTTGGTGGAGGTCTGTGTTTTTATCTTAACCTGAAATTATTATTTTGATCGCTAGTCACGAAATCCGGTTTAAACACCTCCTTACTTTGATCGTCGGTTTAAGATTTGATTGTCCCGCGCGAGCCTCTGACTCGCGTGGAGATAGCTCCTCGCGTCACTTTCATTCAAAACTGGCTGCTCAGCGTGGCTCTGCCTGTTACCAGCTACCGTGTAAATACACGTCAGTGCGCTTTACATGCACACAGCTGTGCAGGCTGGTCGCTACAGTTGAGTCAGTGTCGTGTGATCGTCAATTACTTCTTAAATTCAGCGAAAGCTCGGCGTTTTCGTTATTGATGAATGAATCTTTGATACAAAGAAAATCAACAGCACTTGTATAGACAGCAGCAGCAGCAACTTTTGTCTCTCCTTCTTTTCACCAGTTGGTCTGAGGACGGAAAGCTCTGCTCATCACATGATCAGGAGTCTGCAGAGCCTGGATGGAGGATTTCAGGCGGATATACCTCCGTCTGTGTAAGGAGGGCGGCGTGGAGCCTCAGGAGGGGGTTGTAGCTCAGCTCCAGGAGAGCAGGTCTGCTCAGGGCTCCAGACTGGACCTGAGTGGACAGAGCCTGTCTGCAGATACCTGCTCGGTGCTGGCTAAGGCCTTCCATAAGGATACTGTCTTTACTGAGGTGTCATTCAGCGACTGCATGCTCAGCGAGGAGGGTGCGTGAGGACAGTCTTTATGTCATGTGGAGAATTATACAGTATGTGCAAGTGTATGGTGCTCGGTGATGTGGCCCTGCCCGAGTCACACTGCTGCGGCGCGTCTATTTAATGTACTTTAGTCAGTCTGATGATTGATAAAACTATCAGAACGAGCGTGTTCGGCTACATATCACACAGATGCTGTCAACAAAAAGTCCTGAACACATCTTCACAGAGTTTGCTCTGCTTGACTTAGAAGGATAAATGCAAGCAGTCTTTTTTAAATGCAACAAACAAACAGAGAAATAGAAAATATTCATATAGATCTTTTTTCTCATTAGCATAATGAACCACATCTGCTGCTCTGGTAAATATTGTGACTCAGGATGCTGAGTGCAGGTTAAGATTCTGTGTGTGTGTTAGTCACTGTGCTGTGTGCGACTCTCAGGTGCCAGAGTGCTCCTCAGTGGACTGTTTGACAACACGACTGTCAAAGTCCTGGATCTGAAGGTACCAGCTCCCAAATCAGACTCTCCACACACGGTGACGCTAGTTTGATCTTATTGCACAATATCTGTGTGTCCTTAGGTTGTGTTTTTATTGTTCACAGGGCAATAACCTGAGATCATCAGGAGCTGAGGT